ATATATATATGTGTATATATCAATGCAGAGGATAGGTATTGGAAACTGGCACCCTGGTTGACACCTGATCTACAGTAGCGTACAAATTTTTCAGTTTTTTTTACGAATACCCTTGGTACTAATGGGTTTGTAAAATAGACATTTTATTAAACAAGCCTTTCCACTGCGCGGATTTTGCAGTCTGATTTTTCCTCAATTCCTGTTTAGTGACGTCAACGGTCTCGAAGCTGGCTGGCTGCTTTATCTGGCTCTAACTTAGCATTGGGGAAAATCATATCATATTTCAAGATTTAGATAGGCGGGTTAACTTCGACGTGAACCAGGCTCCTGATTACACTGATTAATTACGTGTTTTTCTCTGATTACTTACAAGTGTTTCACTGATTACTTTAACAAGTGTTTCACTGATTACTTGCTTGTGTTTCTCTGATCACTTCACGTGTGTTCACTGATTACTTACTGTATATGTGTTTCACTGATTGCTTATTTGTGTTTGTCAATTGTTAAACCTCACCTTTCTTTTTTCAACTAAGTTGGTAACCATGATGATGATACCAGTTTTCTCTTGCCAAACCATTCTCCACATATCATTAACACTAGCTTCATTGGGACCTGAATTATGAAAAAGTACTATTATTCAATAAATAATTATTTAAGAATTATAATTTTGAGTTATTCGTTACCAATGTACTCAAACAAAACGTAGGCATATGTAAAAACTACAGTATGTACATTGAGCTTACCATTACATTAAATTAAATTAAATTAATTACGTGTTTTTCTCTGATTACTTACAAGTGTTTCACTGATTACACAGTTAATATTTAAAAGTAAACATTAAAGTCTTAGAATTACTCTTTACCTACATTAAAAAAAATGTTATCATTGAATGCATTCATTGCCTATGCAGTATTCACATGGAAATATGTGATGTGTGCCTACATACCTTGAGATGCAATATACGTGTTATCATTATACTGCAAGAGAAAGAAATAATAAATTTCAAAATAAATTTGGAGTTAGGCTGTAGCTTAATAATTATTTTGATTGTTTTTCTTATTTTTATATAGTGGAAAAGAAACGAAGTTTGATTTTGTAAATCTACAAAGTATAGAAATCGAGGCTTATTTGAAGCCTATGGTCTTTCACTTATGACAGGATAATTATTAAATAACATTAAACAGCAGAGCAAATACAGAAATGGATCCAAACAAAATTGGAGTAGCGGCCATGCAACAGGTGACTGTTGGGTGGTGGCCGATGTCACCGTCAAGAGCAAAGTGGGCATTTCGAAAGTGGTCTAGGGAGGCGAGGACCCCAAAATATATGCTGTGGCGTAACGATAGGGTCGGGGGCCCTGCTTTCTGTGACCGGGGCTGTTTTTGGATTGGATTAGTAGTATTTGGTCTAAACACCAAGGACAACCCACGAAAGTCTGAAGAAGACTTATTTCCAGTGGGGTTCTTCTGGTGGTACTTGGGCAGTACACCGGGAGACAATCCCCTACTCGTTTCTGAATAGTGTAGCGTTCTTTAATGTGCACACTGGCCATAATATACACGGGACCAATGGCTTAAACATCTCATTCAAAAGACAGTGCGCTTTTATAACTTGCATTTTAGCCCTCCAGCTAAAACACAAGGAGAGCAGTGATATGAATTGCATGATTCAGCCCACACAGTGGCTAGTACCTTTAACCTACTGTGGTGGGGCCCGCAGGAGGGGGATTTTCCTCCGTCAGACATGCCTCATACCCCCTGTCGTCCGACGCCACGAGGATGTTGTCGGATAAAAAATAAAAAAATAAAAATTATTTGCCTATCCAAATAACTTTATTTTGATTGTCAATCCCAATTGTCTGAAAGCTCAATTTGGCTCCAAAAACTCTCCCGTGAACCTGATCATGGATTTTAAAAATCCGGGACCAGGATCGAGAGTCTAGTCGCTCCCTTGGTTCAGATCCCCCCATGGCCATGTTGGACTCCTTGTCAGCAAAATTCTGGAGCCACCGCTGGACCATTTTTGGGTGTCATTTGCAAATTCCATTGTGCGATTTTTGATGTGCTGGTTTTTCAATCATGTTTTTCATTGTTATTCTTCAACCCCATGGTTGGGGTTGAAGTAATACAATTTATAATTGGACCTCTGGATGGAGGGAAATGGCACTCACAGACTTAAAATTGTGAATATAAATATCCTTTTATCTCAATTTTAACAGAATGGCGCTCTTTAATCTGCCACACTTACAAAATGATATACAGTATGTCCTACAGTCGATGTCAGAGACAAATTATGCTGTTATGTATCAACAAAACCCTTTTTAGTCAGGGTGATAGACCAAGTAATAAATGGGTGGTGCCCTTTCGTAGCCCTTAGGGGTCGGAGGCCTTGCGGACCGCCGCACGAGAGCGCATAGGCGTTACGCCAATGAATTATATGACAATTTAGGGGTTAAAGGCTAATTAATTGATTGTGGAATCTACTAATATGTAGAAAATACATGTAACTTTTTTTTTTCTCCCAGACAAATAGTGGTTTTCTCCCCGACGGGAGGCCCTGCGCCAGGTCCTCCAATGGCGCCACCTATGGGTAGAAGTGATCTTCGAAATTCTTTGTTTAGAAATGCTTGACCATCCATAAACACTGGTACATGAAATTTAAAGCAAAAATCAGCTTGTTTTGGAGTACTGTACTGCCCTCTTTACCTTTCTTTTCTTTCTCTCTTTTTCTCTTTTTGAGGCCAAGTTTTCCTCTGGATCTGCCCTTGTACTATCCTACTGATGATTAACTTTTTTAAGATGATGATGATGATGATGATGATGATGATGATGATGATTATGACGAACACAGTGACAATGAAAAGGGTGAAGATCAAAAACAGCCTAAATTTTACTTTTATATAGGAGGCGTTGATGTAGTCAGATTGATCACTGGAATCGACCAAAACAACACGCGAATGATCGTCTGTAATGAAAAGAGTTTTTGCTTTTATAATAATATGTACTACAACAAAAACAACAAATTAGCAAAAATAGCAACATAGAAATAATTATAACAAACCATATAATTTGTTTTTTATTAGTTAGGAGTTACTTATTAGCAGTAGAATAACAATAGTTTTTTTTAACATATTGCAGAGGGCACTTTACCACCAGCCTTTTACTCATATAGGCCTATTTGTACATTTAGTAACTCACATGTAAGAATGTTAGCATATCTATTTTTAGTCCTGTTGATGTATTTCTTTGCCTCGGTACATGGATGTAATATGCTGCATCCCAGTTCCTAAATAAATGAGGAAAAGTTATTCTCAAAAACAAAGATTAAACTGTCAACAATACGGTTATTTTCCCACTTCGGAAAACCAACATATATAACTATTATTTGGTTAAAATTCATGGGCCTATTTTAAAAGTTTCATTATTACGAGTTTTTTCTCAACATTTTTATTTTCTAAAGCTTTTCAGTATGGATTATTCTAAATTTTGTGCATTTGATACTTGTCATTAAAAAAGCATCTGTAGTGATAGTATTTATTTTATTCTAGAAAATATTTTGAGTTAAAACTCTTTAGCTGGAAACATAAACATTAAATTCTATAGCTGTAATTATTTATTTATTTATTTATTTATTGTTTCTTTAGACTGCATGCCCTTTCAGTACTTGGATACTGTTTTTCAAAGTGGTACAGTTACAAACAAACCATGAAATAGAAAGAAGATAATAGAAAAAAAAAAGTGAAAAGAAAATTCAATGTAAAACTTTTTTTGTTTTTGTTTAGTTTGGAAGTCCTTTTACCTTGGCAGATATTCCAAGGTGGTACAATTAAATCATTATGTGTTTGGCTAAGTGTGCATTTTGAATGTATATTGTGATTAAAATTAAATGTGGATGTTAGGTATGGAGGGGCATGACCTTTTAAACATTTAAAAGTCAAAAGAGTTAACTGTTCATTTCATCTAACATTGAGTTTTCTCCAATCAAGGGAACTTAAAATATAATCATAAAAATAATTTCTTGTAAAATTAACTTATCAAGAAACACATTTATTTGTATTTTGGAATAAAGTATAATAATAGTGAGTCATTGTCAATAAAACATTATTTTACATGATAAACTAATGTGTTTTGAGAAGCCTTGATATCACTAGCTACATTTTTTCAGATTTGACAAATTAAGACTTAGCGGTAGTTGAACATGTGTCTATATTACAAATTTTAGTGATGTTCATGCACCACAGACCTTAATTATTGTGGTCACATTTTTGTCAATCCGCAAATTACAAAAGACTTACTTCAAATTCTGTTTGGAAGTTTTCTGTTTTATGGCTGCAGCGTTTCCGAACATATTCGTGTAATTTATTCATACGTACTGGTTGGTAGGTGATTGGTTTCTGTTTCAGATTTTGCTTTGGTGTAGTTTTGGGAGAAATGTTCCTAAGTTCATTTGAATCTACAGGAAAAGAGAAATGTAAATCAGACAATTTTGTTTAATGTACTTTTATTTCAATTGTTATTAAAAGCACAATGTAAAAAAAAAATTATTATATTATTATTATTATTATTATTATTATTATTTAATGCTTGAAAAAATTTCCTGAGGGCCTGAGGAAAATTTTGAATGCATTAAATCTAACCTAAGTATAATAATTTTCCACTAATGTACGATGCATGCTCTACTAATTGCTTTATAAGTCAATCGCCGTCTTTTAGGTTTGGTTATAACCAACTGTGTCGTACCAGTCATCTGTTGTTATAGTGATATGATCAGTATACTGTGTGCGTATTTATATTTTGTGTGTATGCTGATTTGTGCTCCTGCATTGTAGGCCTAGGTGTTAACTACACATCAGCAGTACTGTACAGATACGATGAATAACTAGGCTATTATGTAATTTGTATTGTGTTAGAAGAACTTGTTCGTATTTTTTCATATTCGTCAAAGTAATAAACATTTTTCAAAGCATTTGTGAGAGAATACAGTCACTGTCACTAACTTTTTGGTCGGTGCAGACAGGTAAAAATCTTTGGATGATTTCATAACTACGCAAGGCTATATGGCCTATTCTAGTAGTAGGAGGAGCCTCGGCGGCATGCTGCCTGGCCTTAGGCCTCCATCTAATTTCGTTCCTTGAGTCTTTGAAATAGGTCTAGAATATTCCTATTAAATGTTCATTTTGTTTAGTTTATTAGGGTTCATTGATTCAAGGAATTGCTTAATTGTTCACATACTTAATTAATTACTTAATTTAAAGTAACTTTCTTCAGGTTCTAATTAACCTTGTTATACAAAAGTAATTTTTAATTACAATTCAATTTTTATCGAGGTGCGCGATATCTTCGCTGTGACGAAAAAATTAGGAATTTTTTTTTTGCACACAAACTAAAAAAAAATCAAGCCAAGTGTCCACTAATTGAAAAATTAGTGGACGGTGTGGAATAGGCAAATAACATTGGGAGTTGCAGTGATGACGTCACGATTGACTTATAATAAGGATTAGCCACTGTCTATTAAATACACTATCATTGTTAAATTTATTGCGAGTTAATTGGCCGAGAAGTTAAGTCAGGGGCACTGTAACATTCAGCTATACTACCGGCGCTGGTTCGAACGGCTCACTCGCCAATGGTTCTAGTGGTGGAACAAGTCTTTTCGGATAAGGACTTTAAACCGTAGGCCCAGTGTATTTGACTCGTGTGCACTTTAAAGAACCCAGTACATCCTTCTAGAAGAGCAGGGGGATATCCCGGTGTACTGGTCCATTAAGTCCCCTGTTGCTTAATGGATAATTATGTAACTTGGGACAGTGAATAAGTTCGCTTATTGACATATCCTTGGCACTTGTGCCTAAAGAAATGAAATAAAATTATCCTGTTTTATTAATTTATTTAATGCAATAAACATCACTTAAACGTGCACACATAAAATGGAAATGGTTTAGTTTTAGCAAGTTGAGACAGAAAACAAATTCCTGGATCTTCCTGCAGTACATGACATCTGAAACCCTTCAGTGATAGACTTATTGGTCATGTTTGCATTGAAGGATTTTTTTTTATCCTTCACTAATTCTGAATAAATTGAATATACTTACCAGAAGCAGTATTTGAAAATGTGTCTTCTCCAGTTACATTTTTAGCTTCTTTTCCAGAACGACTAAAAAGTAACATCATTTATTGTAAACCATATCAGAAAGTAGAAGGTTTCAGCGAATGAACAGAAACAACACAATGATACGTATAGAAGGCTGTATTGTAGGCCTACATGTATACTACAAAAACACAATCCGTATTTGTAGGAAAACAAAACACATACCGTCTTTGCAACAGCACAAATAAGATGATCAATATTATAATGAGAATACCAAATGGAATTGTAAGTCCGCTTATTAATCCCGCTATTAAAAATAACAAGAAACAAAAACAATGTATTTATCAAAGTTATTCTTTATTTTTAAGTATAAATATAATAGGATTACTTCTGTGACTTCAGAAATTATATAAAGGGGATGTTGTATTTATTTTACCTCTAACTGATGTCTCCGTATTTGCTTTGTTCGCTTCTCCAACACCGGCAGAGTTAGCTGCGACAATCTAATATATACGCAAATATGTGAAAAATTATTTTCAATGACATAATACGAGATAGGTCCTAATAATAATGAGGGTTTGCAATAACGTGTGGAAAAAACGAGCTTATTATGACAGGTGGCACCAAAATGTGTTCGAAGGGGCCCGCGTTTCTCCCACGGGGAGTGGGGCGGAAGCACTTCCCCTGCATGTCTGCCACTGTTTATGGTATCACACCACATAACAGTAAAATGTGTGGAATGTTTGTGACGTACTATCTCTAAAAACCGAAAGGTCCACTGATTAATCTCAGATAAGAAAGTATAATACATACTCCAAGTATTGAAATACACGCCATCGTGTTGGGATTCAATATTTCGACATTAATTATGTCATCATCAGGAATGATGATGACATAATTAATGTCGAAATATTGAATCCCAACACGATGGCGTGTATTTCAATACTTGGAGTATGTATTATACTATCTCTACACGTACAGGGATGGCAGAACGTTTTTCAAAGTAGGTGGGGGGGGGGGCACTAGTCTGATGAATGGGAATAAAAATTAGGGTATCTGGGTTCAAATTCAGGAGGTGGGGGTCAAAAGTTTTCCTAAAAAACCTAAGAAAGAGGGGGTCGGAGGTCCTTCCCTGGGGAAATTTTTATTCCTAGATGGTAGGAAATCAGCTTTTCCAAATTTTGAGCTACTGTAGGTGTCTTTTAATGAATTTTATGTTCTTCAAATTCAAGGTTTTCCCCCTCTTGAAAACGGTCAGGTAAACTTTCTTATTCTTATTACAGTAAATAGGCCTGTTATTTGTGTATACAATAAAAAATTGAGCAGTTGCATACGTGTTGTTTTTTCCATGAATCGATAAACCCCAAAGAGAAAGGGGTTCCGGAAAATTTTGTTTTCCTAGATGGTAGGAAATGAGCTTTACCGAGTTCTGAGGTGTCTTTTTAATGACATTTAAGTTCTTCAAAATTCAAAGGTTTTCCCCTCTTTAAAACGATTCCCTGAATCAATGACCCCCAAAGGGAAAGGCGAGTTCGGATTCTTCCCGGGAAAGTGTTGATTTCTAAATAGCGAGAAATGAGCTTCTGACGGGTCTTTTAACGACTTTTAAAGTCAGGCTCTGGAGGAAAAAAAATTGTTGATATGTTGTAGAACTGATTTTTCTAAGACAGAAAAAAGTTGTTTGACGAAAAACTGGGGAACGGTGAATGAGATACAGATTTTTTAATATTTAAAAACTGGGGGAAAAAGGGGCGTAACTGCCCATTTTTACACTTTATTCCCCCAGTTTTTAAATATTAAAAAATCTGTATCTCATTCACCGTTCCCCAGTGTTTTGTCAAACAACTTTTTTCTGTCTTGGAAAAATCAGTTCTACAACATATCAAAAAATGTTTTTCCTTCGGAGCCTGACTTTAAGTTCTTTAAAATTCAAGGTTTTTCCTCCTTGAAAACACAATTTTTTCTCATTCTTATTGCAGTAAATAGTCAGCTCACGGTTCCTGAAAAGGTAGGACTAGAATTCTTTTTTTATTTTAAATTGTTCTTTATTTTTTGCAAAAAGGAGGTCAGGAACTCTGACCCCCAGAACCGCCAATGTGAACTGGGAGAAAATGTAACTGGGACTGGATATAGACATTCTACTGTATTTCACCTCCCTCTCCTCCTCCTCCTTACCTCTTTCTTTTCTTGCATTCCTTTCCGATCATACAAAAATCTCCATAGACATTATATATTTTCTGCTAAATAGTGGGCCCCCTGGTTGTGCCGGCCATGACGTAAACATTCCTACGTCATATGCTGGCATTTGCATCAACTCACCTGAACTGTGTACTCAGTATTTGGTTTGACACCATCGTCACTCGTAAACCTAATTTCTCTATCAGACCCGCTTGCATTTTTCTTTTTTACGACCTTATCTTTTGACTTCAATGTCACTGTATACATAAGTATTGGGCAATCATTATTGGTTGGAGCATTCCAATTTACTCTTACACTTTCCTTTTCAGAGGCGATGCTAATAATTTTAGGTTTTCCTGGCTCTAGATGAAAATATAATTGATTGTTAGCATAAGCCTACTTGAATTTACTTTACTTTGTGTTACTGGACGTGGAAAAGGCGTATAAAGTGTCAATTTGATTATTTTATTCATTATGGCGTAATTCCTCAACTTGGCAAATGTTAGTGTGTTGGGCGTAAAGTCATTATATTGGTATTTATACAGTATACGTATTTCTCATGTACTTCAAGGTGAGGTAAAACATTCCTTTTCTTCACAACAAAGAATTCGAATAGGCCTACATTACATTTCTGAGAAAATATACTTGATAACGATATAGGAATTTACAGAGTGCCTATTATTAGAGATGGATGGAAGGTTGAAACAGTTATATGATTTTTCGCCATGTCAGAAGGGAAAAGTAACTTTTCTTACCCTCAGTGCCACTGGTAAGGTTTAGGCTCGAGATGGGCCCATTCACATTGTAGTTTCTGCCGTAGACTTCAAATGTGTAGTTATTGCATGGTTCTATACTATGATCTATAGTCACAGTGATTGATTTTGTGTTGTTTTGCTGTATAAGCAAATTATCGGGACCATTCAATGAGTACTGGTATACTGTATCACCATTACGCTGACCGCATGGGATATCCGACCATGATAAAGTCAATGACCTTGGCTTCTGATCTGAAACATTATCTATCTGAGGTGCTGAATCTGGAGCTGATTGATAAAGATAGTTTGATAAATTATAGAATAACTTATTATTGCCAATCATAAGACTTCAAATGTTTCCTCGTGCCATAAATGGTTGGACCGTAAGATAATGCCAAATTTTGATGAAAATAAAAGGTTATTGGATATGTGTTTAATAAAAAAAGAGAAAGAAATGGGTCTTATACATACGAAAATCAAAATAATAATAAGCCTTAAAAATAATAAATTCAAGTTTTTGGTTGTGTCTCTATCTACCGTAAAGTCAATCTTCATCGTTGGGATAATGAAAGATTATAGAAAGAGTATCCCATTTGTACCCCATAGCCTTCTACATACCAACCTGCAATTTTTGTAGTTTCTTGTTTCACGGAGTCATTGCCTGTAAAGTCACCGGTTGAAGGTAATATTAATATTTCATAAGTAGAATATGGTTCCAAAGAACTTAAACTGCAAAAAGGTTTTGTTGTAGCGTTTAAAGCACTTTTGAAGTCGGTGTAATTGAACAGTTCACATTGGTCTCGATTGGTCAGACGGTAGCTTACACCATACACAACAGAACAATTCCCATTTTCAACAATGTCCCAAGTCACATTTATTTGTTCGTATGAGACACCATCTACTTCGATATTTTCCACAGGATCTGGAGCTGTAATTATGTAAATGAATGTGTTATACTGTACTTTATTTAAGTTTTAAAAAGTAGTATCAGATTATCAAAATCAGATTATCTGCCTCTGCCGCCAAAACACCGATTTTGGAGGTTTTGCGTATTATACGCGAAAACTCCAAAATTAGACTAACCATTAGGTACCGGTAGAAACACGTACTTAATGACTCCTAATTTAATAATAATGAATAAAAATAAGGAAAAAACAAATATACGATGACAATTGATCTAAACCTTTTTCTGAAGTTGCAATGTTCACGGTTGCGTATGGTCCATTTCCCTTTGACGTTTTAGCAGTTACCTCAAAGGTGTAAAATGTGCATTGAAGAAGATCAGCAAACGTTGTGCTTGTGTCTGTGAAATTTGTTTTGTCTTCAATTTCCATTCTATCCACAAACAGTTTGTAATCATATGTTACAACACCTTTTCTTTCGCCGCATATTGGCTGATCCCACGAAACTGAAACCGAGTCAAAACCAATGGACAATATCTGAAGCGATGTTGGTGGACCAGTTGGAACTAAACCAAAATAAGAAACTTGTAAATTCATAATAACGTAATCATAAAAATTACAGGCTGAACATTTATTAAGTTTTGCAGTGCTTTTAAAATAAACCTTTAATGTAATATTTATGTACTTCAAAAATACATAGGCCTATTTTGTTATTGAAGAGGTTTAACAAATTATATAAACAAAAATGAAATACAAAAAAATAAAAGGGAACAATTTATCAATAGCCTTATTAAGTGACGTGTCAGAAACATGTTTGTGTCAAGATTTCTTTTCTAATAAAATAGTCCTAGCCTAAATGGTGTAATTGAAATCATTTGTTTTTCTTACTTACATGTATTAATGGCAAGATGAAAAAATAGAAGATAATTTATTTTGTGTGTACAGTATAGTAAACGTTGTCGATAAAAAATAATACAATAGGCGGTTGACATTCAAGTGTAGCCTATTTGCAGTGCATCAACAATGCGTAAGTATATTATGTATCTATGGAAAATTCTTTTAGAATTGCTGGTGCTAGAGTGTTGAATAATATACCTGCTTTTTTTCAACAACCAACATTAATATAAATACTTTAAATTCAATTATTATAAATTCTATTTTACCAACTTTCATCTAAGATTTTTATATGATTTGATTTTAAATGTGTCACACTTTAATTGTTATTCGCTTTGGTCCTTATTCATTTTCTTTTGTAATGTTGTGATACAAATTGAATCGAAAAGAGTATTTTGTATAATAATTGCAAACTTGATTTTCGAATTTTGAGATACTTGATTTGTTTGCTAATTTTTATAGGGTTTTGTAAAAATTACACTTGCTAAATATGGGTTGTTCTTACCCCAAGTTTCATGGCGATCATCATAATATGTACATGTTATCACCATTTGTAATATCTTACCGGCTTACAATACTGTAAATGTTCACTAAATAATAATTTCATTTTATTTATTTATTTTTTAAAATTTTATTTTTATATTTTTTAATTTTTTTTATGAAGTGGATCTATTAGTATTACTATTGTTACTCCATTATTAGTTACTTTCAAGGTATAAAATAATAAGCAATAACAAATTACTGATAGTCCATACAAACTATGAGATGAAAATGACGTTGTGCAGTATGTTTTTTTTATTTTATTTAAAAAAAAATTAAAATTAAAAATTCATAATAACTCAACGTGTTATGAGTAAACATATATCGCATTAGCGTACAATGATGAAAAGTAATATATTTTTATATAAAAATGAAAAAGGGAGGGAAAAAAATTTAAGGTATATACTTGTCAAATAAAATCTATATTAATAATGGTTACAATTGGTTAATGCCTAACCTTTGAAATCATGTTAATATCATAGAATTATGCTTAAATTTATTTTTAAAATTTTCATTTAACATTTATTGATCGACTTAATTTGCATATTTTATTGTTTATGTAAGAATCAAGAGAAGTTTAAAAAATAAGAAAATCAAGGAAAAAGGTGAAATATAAAAAATGCTGTAACGCAGAATGTCTGTAATTCAAACAACTTGATGTATTTATGAATAAAAGTGGTGGTTGTTATACCACAAAAGAGAGAAAAAAAAATATCTTACCGTCCTCGTTGGTTTGTATGGTTTGTTTATCTGAAGGCGGTCCAACTACATCTTCAGACGAGGCCTGGACCATGATTTCATATTTAGAGTATGCAGTTAGATCCGAAATAGTGTATGGAGTGATTTGAATAGGACCCTCTTTAATGACGCCATCGTTTGTTTCATAACACATATCGTATATGATTGGTTTATAAGTGATGTTGTAGGTAACGGGACAGTTTCCATTTTCAGTCTCTTCCCATGTTAGGGAAATTTCAGTTACTCCAATCATAACAATGCTCACAGATGCGATCTTCTTTGGTTCTTTAAAAACATTAATACATATTAACATATCATTAATTATAATTCGAAGAATTATCCTGCCCTTAAAATGATACATGGATGTACCCCTAAGCTTATTTTTAAAATTAAAGTGAAAACAATCGATCCTTGCATGCTATACACATCTATCACACCTTCATTTAATATCATCATTTTCGTTATCGTCAATATAACATTAGAATTAATAATAATAATAACAAATACTTATATAGCGCTAATTCAAAAATTTATCAAAGGCGCTAAATTATAATATTAAAAATCACGTTTCTACGTGTGCCCACTAGCTCGCATATAATCATTGCATCATATTAAGCTTGTTTTAGTAACAATGAGAAATAAGTCTAACAATATAAAATAATTATAATGTTAAACACACACTGCAATATCATTTTCCAAAAAGTTAAATTTGCTTACCAGTCGGTGTTGTCCGTGTTGTTACATACTCACTCCATGGTCCACATAAGCCAGCATCGTTCACAATTCGAACCCTGCATCTGTATTCTTTACATGCAACTAGATCCACGATCGTGTAATACGTCATACTGCTATCAGTAGTATACATCGTCCAATTAGAATCATCGTTTGATTGGCACTGTAACTCATACCTTAGAATGTTGTTGCATTGTAGTTTCTGGGGGTCATCATTCTCTCCCTTCATAATATGCATAAGGTGTACTTTTTAGTATTTATGCTTATTAATTTTATTAGCTATTACAATTATTTTTATTATTTTTGTATTATTATTATTATTATTATTATTATTTATTATTATTATTAATCAATCAATCAATCAATTAATTAATAATTATTGTTTGTTAATTATCACTGTTATTGCCAAGTATTGGCGAATTAATGTTTGCATTACAAAATATAAATATTATTAATATTAAAGAAGTGAAAGAAAAAAACGAGTTTCCCAAATGGGATTTAAACCCGGGACCTTATGCTGTCTACACAGATTGTCCCGGTTCCCGGTCTGCAGGTTGGGGCACCTGTATTTTCACACTCACAGATTATACTTCTTTAACATTCAAAATGTATACATATTGCAAGACGGTTTAAGTTTGGATAAGGCAAAAAGGTCATTTTATCTCATATATTGTAATAATATTTGCGATCTGGATCGGTAATTGACAAGTCTCCAAGGAGGCATCACGTTAATAGGGTTTGGTTTCATTTTGGTCACTGGATAACATAGAATCTGTCTCTTTGATATTATTATGTATATTTTACTCTAGTTGCCATGACGTTGCTACGTCTTCTGTGATTATTAGTGATCTTGTGCAAGATTTTCGTCTCTTACTGTTTTTTGTAACAGTTTCTGTTCACCTGTTCGCTAACCCTAGCCGCACGTTGTTGTACGGTTTCACTGACCTGAATCAAGAGCATCCGCTTGATTCAGGCTGCTACAGTTTATACACGTGTACTCGTTACCAGCCTAAGATGTCCTGTCGTACCTCATTAAGACAACGGTTATTTGTTTTCTACCTATTAGCAATTCTTAAATTAAGCAATCAAACTTCGATCAAAGAACTGAAACCTACAGTACACTTAACAAACTAATTAAGTCAAAGCCAAACTGTTTATCTACTTAATCTGCTAATAAGGACTAACTATTGCTTAGCTCCACTATGGCTCCACACAGTAGGCCCTATTGATATATTAATTAATTACTTAACTTCCTGTCACTGCTTGGTATTTTTGTTTTTAGTTTTTTCAATTTACTTGATCTTGAGAATGGTTCCATGATGGACCCGAAACGTCGATCTTTCTTGTCATTAAATTTTGTTTTTAAATTATATAGTAAGCGTCTCTTAATTCGTAATTATTATTATGTTACTAAAAACGACATTAAGGTATTAAGGTACTTGGAGTTGGAACATGGAATGTGAGAATAATGAAATGATAGAGAAGACAAATTAGAAATCATCTAATAAGAGATGGAGGTGACACTTGGTATTCTTGGATTGTGCAAATATGGTTTAAGGTGTTGGAGATTACATAGATGAATCAATTAGAATTATATTCATGAGGTGTATCAAGAGAAAGAGGTGTAGCAATAGACTTAAAGGAAGAAACTGCTAAATGTGTAACAGATAGGTTGATGTTAGTGAGTTTATGAGGAGTTCCTGTGTATATAAAAATTATACAAGTACACTATATATGTTAACAAGTTCACATAATGATGATGACATAGAAGAGATTATATAAGAAAATGGCAAAAGCTATTTAATAGTGATAGGTGACATAATGTTGTGGGCAAAAGCAAAGATTATAAAGAAGTGGGAAGTTTTGGGCTTAGAGTAAGAAATGAAAGATGACAAAAACACACTACAAAAGAAGAAGATATACTTGGAAGAAATTTGGGGACACCTGGAGATTCCAAATAGATTATTATAGTTAGACACAGATACAGAAATAGTGTACATAACTCGCAAGCATATTCAGGGGCTGATATTGATGTGGTCCATAGTCTAGTGAAAATGGCAGTAATACTTAAAAAGTCAAAAAAGGAAAAGATGGAATATTAAAGCATTATAAGATCCCAAAACAACATTCTCAGAAAAAGTAAACGAGTTTTGAAATTAAAAATGGCCACCTTTTCAACCGATTTATTGGTATTGAAGGTTTTATAGGCACT